CTGTCTCATGAACGATTTCACATAGAGCTAGTAGACGATGTATTTAGTCGCGAATCGGAGCAACTGACCTCAGTTGGATACCTCAAGCTCGATCGAATGATCGAACCTCGCGGATGTTGATGGATTCCTGCACGATTCCTGCAAGCAGTGATGAAGACGCCGTTCGATCGCGTTTCACCTCCTCGAAACACCAGTTCTCGAGTCGTTCGATTTCTCCCGAACGTGGCAACGATAAGTGATTGCGACACGACTGAAAAGTTGCCGTCGATGTAGATATTTCTTGAAGTTTACGACCCTCGGAAAAAGTTCTCGAAGCTTATAGTCTTTAGTCCTTAAATCCTCCAATTACGAGAAGCAAAGATGGAGGAGACTTTTGTTTCTGCTCGAGGAAACAGTAACGTCCATATTGGGACACCTGCGACGTTAAAGTTACCTTACTCGACTGGTCGAGATGACCAAAGATTTTTAAGAATCTATAAGATATATAGAGAGGTACCTGTACGCGATCGCGCAGTCAACGTAAAATGGTCAGTGATGCACGCCAATCATCCCGAGACGAAGAAATAACACGTTCCACCCACGTACGGGCCTGAAGAGACTGTCTAAAACTGAACGAGCGCGTTACGGCCGTTCGTACAAACCGGGGATCCCAAATTAGAGGAATGTCTGATTTACATCTCGAGATATCTCGGATGAAGCTATAAATAATTTCGGTGGTGGAATGTTAATGTGGCCCTAGGCTTCGAACCAACCGATGGCCCAAAGGACCCCCCGCCAAACGCAGACGTCCAGTCGACCTTTAAAGAGATACTACCTATGGCTCTGTTCATCTCTCTCTCTCTCTCTCTCTCTCTCTCTCTCTCTCACTCACTCTCCGCGATGAGGATAAATGTTTAAACGTTTCCTGTGCAGATTCGCTCCTATATTGTTGACGAGCCCTGATTTATTGGCCCTTGGACTGTACACGCCAACAAAGACGAGAACGAGACTCTGAAAGTCTTTGGAAACCTACCCTTGACTCGCTTAATTTTTAAAGAATAAAAACAGTGTCGAATTATTATACGCATTAATCAAAATATATGTGCAAACTGTGATCCGTATCGTATGCAGCTGTAGAATGGCGATAAAACAACCCCTCAAGTTATCACATTCATCAAGCGAAATCAGGGACAGCAAAACTGAATCGATCTATTCACAAGGGAGGTACACTGTCGAGAGAGAGGTAGCTTGCGAAGTAGACCCGGTTTCCATTGCTCGGCGTAACGGATCGTGCTCCGTTGAAATAGGT